ACTACAGGAGAAAACCTAAACTAACTTTATTTATACTGAATAGCTCTATCAGTTCTAAACTGTTCTTCCTAGAGGTCCAGTAAGGATCATCTCTTATTGATCCAGTGTTACTACAGGAGAAAACCTAAACTAACTTTATTTATACTGGATAGTTCTATCAGTTCTAAACTGTTCTTCCTAGAGGTCCAGTAAGGATCATCTCTTATTAGACACCTTAAGATTGACGTTTACGGCAAACGTCAAACCGCTAGCGAAGTTTTTGATTTTACCACTCTATTATAATAGCATTTACACCAGTTTGGAAATATGTTAAACAATTATTAAACTTGTGCTCTTTAGGAATTATTTAAGAAAGCAAATTAACCACTAGTCGTGTATTCACCAAAGCAGTAAATTAAGATCTGTCGTTTGAAGTTTACGTTTGGCGTATAAATTTCATACTTGAACTGCTACGAGGGCTTGTAGTCGTTCAAGCATGAAATTTATACGCCAAACGTAAACTTCAAACGACAAATCTTGATTTACTGCTTTGGTGAATACATGACTAGTGGTTCATTTGCTTTCTTAAATCATTGTTAAATACCACAAGTTTAATAATTGTTTAACATATTTCAAAATTGGTGTAAAAGATATTATAATAGAGTGGTAAAATCAAAAACTTCGCTAGCGGTTTGACGTTTGCCGTAAACGTCAATCTTAAGGTGTCTAATAGCTGTTAATGTTGGGGTTTTTTTGGGCTAAGAACCGAAATTTGGTATGAAAAATTGAGATAAAGGACCTGGAAACCAATTGCAATCATGGGAGAAATTCTGTAAATTTTGTGGTTAAGTGATGTTTCGAAAATTTTTGTTAGGTTTTGGAAAAATTTGGTTTGTCCAAAAAAATTTTTTGACCCCTAAAATGGTACACTGACCGAAATTTTTTTGGCGACGGGGGGAGGGAAGAAGGTCGCCAAAATAAATTCCGGAAAAATTTTTTTCTTATCTCAAACCCTCTGTTATATTCTTTCTGCAGTGCCCCCCCCCCAGAAATTGAAAGCCAGCTACGGGCTTGCTTCATATTCAAGATTCTAGTTCTATTTTGCAGTTTTTGATGCGTTTTGCCAAACACATCCCCTACTTCACTGCATAATGGAATTATGGGCGAACATTAGCGTTACAAATGGAAATAAGTGCTTCTTTGTCAACAAAAGGTTTGACGAATGGCAGAGATTCCTGCAATTATTGCAAATATATTCAGTATCACTTTTCCAAGATAAATACTGGTCAACTGTTACTCCTGCATTCATAAACTTCTTTAATTTATTTTCAATGAAAACATTCGGATGAGACTCCGAGATCTTTTTTATCATTGGTTTTGAACCAATTAACATGAAATTGAATTCAGTTTTGGCTACATTAAGACCAAGTTTATTGGCAATTAAATGCCACAGCCTCATGCAAGGTCAGTTGTAAAATCTCCTGAAGCTATCAGATTTGTGCCGTCAGCAAACAAACGCGGTTTTGTTTTATTTAGACATAATTGAGGTAAATCATTTATATACAGTACAGCAAAAAGAATAGTGGCCACAAAATAGAGCTTGTGGTACACCACATTTAATTAATCGCTCAGATGAAAAGGAATTTTTTATTTGGCATTTCCGATTTTGGTTTGAGAGATACGATTTGAGCAAAGTTAGAGCTTGTCCTTTTACAGTATTCCTTGTAGCTCCATAATTTCCTCAATATAATTTGATGATCAACAGTACCAAATGCTCTTTTTAATCAATTAAAACTACTAGGTTAAACATTTTCTGCATGTCTAGATTCATATACCAATATATTGTTGGTACAGTCCAGTAAGGCTACTAGTAGCTGTGGAGTAAAATTTTCGAAAACCAAATTGGCAATACCTAAGAAGTTCAAATTTTGTTAAATAGTTATACAGTTGATTAAATAGAACTCGTTCATATAATTTAGCAGTAATGGCTGGCAAAATTGATATTGGTCTATAATTTCCTGCAGAATATTTCGTTGGCCATTAAAAGTAGATCGAGTAATAAGCTGATTAAAACTATAAGTGTCAGTGAATCTGAAAAGGCAGGTGTAGCTATTTTAATAATTTTACAAGAAATCTTGTCAATGCCAGTGGCTTTATTGCTAGAAAGCCCAAGTACTGTAGAAGACGACATACATGATTGACAGTAACACGTTGGAATGCAGCAAATTCTGAAAATCAATGCCAATGTTTGAAAAATAACCATTAAATCCCTCTGCAATATCTTCGAGACTTGTTAAATTATTTTTATCTAGATCATTTATCACTGTTGGTTTGTTTTGCCTACGTAATAAGTTGTCAATACTTTTCCAAGTTGAAGTGGAGCATGCTTATCTAGAACATCTAAAAAAATGTTTTTCAAATTTCCCACATGGCACTTGGATCAGCAAAAAATACACATATTCCCAGTGCTGTTTCAGCAGTTCTGCAACAAATTTTTCCTCATCAAAATTTTTCATGTTTCTAATCTCAACAGTATTTTCTTGATTTTTTACAACAGAATTTTCCTAATTGCAAATACTAATCTATGATCGCTTATACCTATGACACCAGAATCAGAATTTTCTCTGGTGTATTAGTAACAATATGTAGTCTAATAGACTGATGGTTGTCATATAGTTATTCGAGTATACTGTAGCTATACCAAAACTGCGGATCGTGTCATGTTGAACATGTTTTCGTGTCCGTGTTAAATCATTCAGGAATCAGGAATGCGACTGCATTCCGAACGCCGTGAAATTATTAAACTGTAGTGAAATCGACATTTGAAAATGGCGACATCTAATTGGTCTGATGGAAATTGTAGAGTTTTAGACAAAAATCCGCGCGGTTCTGGTAAATGCATACAGTATACAGTACCTGTATAAGCAGTTTATTTGATATATATAACCACATGAAAACTAAATTTTTGGTGCACTTACTGGCTCTCCTTGATCTCCTTTGTCGCCTTTAAATCCCGGCTAAAAAATTTAAATGTTCTGCATTAGTCATATTGTACAGAAATTTAACTTACAATAACTTTACATAAATGCAATTTTATTCTAAATATACAGTATACGGTATATATTATGATAAATCTTGCACACAAATCTAGACAGTATAGCTAAATATATACTTACAGTTATTCCAGAACCTAAAATGGAGGAAAAAAGAGAGAGATATGTTAGTAAAACAATTCTTTCATTGCGCAAAATACCAAAAACTCGAATGAAATAACGCACTCACATGCCCGTGTCTCAAAACATTGAGTAAAATTACTCAATTTTATGACCTAATTTATTACTTGGAGTTTTTCGATTGTAGATAAATTTGCGAGTGTCTGTGTAGGTGCAGCATTGCTTTACTCAAGTCAAAATACAGCGTTTCTGGGTAAATTCATAAATACTAATTCATAAATGGCAGACTATACAGTATAAAAAATACTGCAAATTCCGCAAAATTTGTGAAAACTTTATGCTAGCATGATATTAAGGTACCATACAGACAATTTGAGTACATTTTTGCCATAGGCATAGCGGCATTCCACGCATAATTTTTAAAGTTTTTGTAAAAAGTATGTAAGAAATCAATCATGCATAAAATCAGTCAAAACGTGTGATAACTTATGCGTGAAAGGCCACTGTGGCAAAAATATCCCCTAAATGTTGCGCACTTAAACATGCGCGGTTTACAAAGAGAGCAATTCATGCGCAAAATAAAATTTAGAACATATTATTTTAAAATGCCAGAAGAGTGACCAAGATTATACGTAGCAATTTTGAGACGTTTCCTGATCGTAAACTTTCGACTTCCAGTCTGCAGTCTTCGACAAGTGAGGCAATAATGTTATTAATTGTGAAGCGATTATTGCTTCACCCTAAGCGATTATTGCTTCACCCATGACTGGGAAGTTTGAAAACTGCATAACCGAGATTTCGAAAATTCAGTATTAAATTAAATATATAGCTTCACCTGTCGAAGGCTGCTGCCTGTTAGTAAAATAAATAAAAGTATAAATAAAAGGGTACGACCAGAGAACGTGTCAAAATTATTTCATATTGTCTTAAAAAGTAGCGCCGGTTCAAACAAAAGCCTCCAGTTTTTTTGGATTGACCAAGTTTGATTGACTCAAGTCAATTGACCAAGTCTGGTATTTATAAAGTGTTAACGTCAAATTTAAAATTGACTCTAAAAGCATACTTGCAAATGCGATATATAAATTGAAGTATACAGGTGACTTGCATGGGGCGTTTTGAGTCTTTTCTTCATTAGCGCGAAATATTTAATCTTTGGATCGGTGTCCGGATCTGTGTCAGGAAATACAAGAGGATGCACGAAAGGCAACCTTTATGACAGAAAAGAAATTATATTCCTTTACTTGAAAGGATGACTAATACGATTTAACGATTTCAGAAAGCCGAGTTTTTAATGCTTTCTAAAATACAACCCCCCGGCCAGTTCTATGATATAAGAACTATTCTATAATCTTCGCTCCATTGTTCTACAGATATATTTAATATTCACTATAGTCTGTGCGTGCAAAGCCGAATCGGTCGGCTAAAATTGTATACGTACTATTTGTAAACATAGCTTTAAAATTTACGCTCATAGCACTCCGTTTATAAACATTGAGCGTGTTTAAAATTATGAAGCCCAAAGTGAACACCGGGGGTGGGGCAAAGAAGACTGTTGCAATGAGTTATTTATCACACATTTACGTTTGGATATTTGCGCATATTGTAGTATACCAATTCTTGGTCTATTTTAGAAATATTCCATGAAAGAATATTTTGCGCAAACATTGTCCCTAGTAAAACGCAAACCATGTAATATTTCTATATACTACACTAGTGTGTAGTAATTTAAGAGTACAATAATCTATTGTATTCAAGATATGCACGTCAGCGCTTACTGTAGATGATCAATATTTGCGCACACAAGTCACGCTAACCGTTGCGGAGATGTAACTATATTTATTTATAAGTTAAACCAAACAAAAATACTGTGATGCACGCATCTTGTATTATTAATGATTTTGCGCAAAAAGCCTGAACACAGGCGCAAGTCAGAAAATTGAAATGCGACCCGCATTGTACCAACAACTCCTTCTTGGGGTCAGAGACACTGCGGTCTTTGTTATCGTGGCGAATAGGCGCATAAATATTTTCTAAATTTTGTAGATTCATGCAATTCAGTTATCATTTCCACTAAATCTCTTTGCAATTATAAAAGTACAGCAAAGAATGGTAGGCGACTAGACAAATGCTTCGGCCATTTTCAGACATTTTCGACGATTCAGACAATGGCACTTGCATTAGTCCAGTCTGTTGCACGTTCAATACTCAGTAAATGCAGGAATAATGAATGTTTTTACGCTTTATCAAGACATTCCTTTGTGCGTGTCGACACTACAGCTTTAAAAAGAAAAATAATAAGTAGGCCTCAATATGAAATATATATTAATGTAAATCTATAGATACGATGTATTCCTTATTTCAAACGTTTGTTTGCCAACCAGTAAAATGGGTGTTAGTCGCTTATATACATTCAACTTTACATACAATTGTCCCTCAGATTTAATATCGATTATCTAATCATGGACCAATTCTAGCACGAAGAGCGAGTATGAAGTGAATACCATTGACAAAAAATAACAGCAAACGCAAATCACGTCGAGAATAATATTCGTCTGCTCTAGTATTTACGCGCATATTATTCAAAATGCAATTCAGGCAGGAACGCGTAATGGCGCAAAAAGACAATTCATAATATTTAGGATCTCATATAATACATGACTATACTAAATCACATTTTGTCAGCATGAACGAATGAAGGAATGTAAAGTGTTCGCTTACCGTCCTGAGCATTCGCCAAATAAATTACCACAGAAAGAACCAAAAGAATCGCTAAGTTTCGTAACTCCATCTTATTAACCGGTTTGTAACAAAACCAAGGCTAACCACAGAGTCTTTTCACAGCTTCGCTGGAGACAAATGAGACTAGGTTGGTTCGTGCAGTTGTGGTAAGCACGCAGCACAGCCAACTGTTCCGAATAATACCCGCATGCAAGGGAGGCATTCCTCTCAGGTTTCATGACAAAATAGTCGATTGTTCTGAAATTGGATCCTTGAATGACAGTGAACCTCAATATGCGTGCAAAAGAAAGTGCCACATCCAATACCTCACGCACGACAACACATCAAACTAGCATAATATGCGCAATGTTACCCCAGACGGACCCCTAAAGAAGGCAAATAAACGGTTTTATAGTTTAACTGATTTTAAACAAATACTATATCTATGAAATTTATTGACGAAGAAAGTTACATATTAATTCTTGCGCAATGGGATGCCAGCAGACAGAACACAACTGGCATTGTAGGGCTCGAATTTCGCCTAGGCAATTTTACCTTTGCGCGCATAATTATAAGGTTTTACCCATCTTAGAAAAGATAGGAATATTGTTTTGTTGCACGCTTGCTTTTACATAAGATTTAAAGTGTTCTTACGAAGAATACCAAATTTTTGACACAAGTGTCTGAAAAATTGACCTCAGTTCATATTTCAAAGTACACTGGCAATACAATCTGTTACGCATTGATGCGATAATAAAGGACTCGTACAGGACAGTGAATGAATGCCTTCTGAGCTCAAAATCTTCGACGGGAAAATAAAAATCTCTACACTGAAATTATCTAACAGTATTTCCAAACCATGGTTTTCCAGTATAGGCGAATGGAGATGTGATTATTTTTATTTATATTTGAAATATAAACAATTATAACTCGTAAAAATTATAACTCGTCAAATCGCGTATGCAAATATTTAACAGCTTGGGGTCAGTGGTAAAGATCGCGGCATGCGCGTGTGTGTATTTACCCAATGACCCTTGGTCAAAGTGACTGACGCACAGTTTTTCAGGTTTCTCTAGTTGCAAATTTGGCGTTGAGAATAAAACTTCGGTAGCCTTGAGTTAGATTACGTCTTTAATTTTTGTATACGATCCCGGATACTAAACCGGGTTGGTACTATGGTGGTGATATTTATATATGCATGTAAATTTTAATCTATAAATTATCCGTCGATTCATGTTCACCTATAAAAAACTACTTTTACGAAGTGTTAGAAGAGGGCCTGAAGGGATAAAATGGGAACTGGGATTGATCTATTTTTAGACTGGGAAAATGGGATTTGGGTTGCTGGGACTGGATTTGGCCACTGGGAATGGGAAATAAAGTCACAAAAATGGGAATGAGATTGAGGTAATGCGAATCTATTCCCAATTTTTCCACGTTTTAAGTGTTTTAAAATACAATTTTGATCCGTTTTTGGTGTCTTTGGTCATGATTTTTGTTGCTAAGTACCGGGTGTCCCCCAAAAAACTTGCGCTGTTTGATTTAATGTAACGTAAAAACTATAAAAGCTATTGCACTCAAGTAGTTTTATTGTATTCAGTTTTATTGTATTCAGAAAGGGCAAACATAGATTTTGATATATATTATTTGAATGTCCGTGCAATATTTACCTAGCTATCGATATTTTAAATTGAAAAACATATTTGACAACTTTAAAAATTTGCATAAAATTTCCTATCAACTATTATTTGCTTAACCTTGATATGTAGTTTTATTGTGGCCAAAAGAACGGATGAAAAACATATAATCCTTGGATAACAAATTTATTCATTCGTCTTAGAAAGTGTGACCTTTTTCACGTATACAATGTCTTGCACAGGGAAACATGCATAAAACCCAAACTCCTTCATATTCGGTTAATCGAGGCATATTCGAAAGGCGAACGAAGACCGACTTTATAATACGAACTCTCAAAGGACGTCCGATTATGATTTCGAACGTTTTTAAATGTTTCATGCTTATTTTGCTTAAGAAACACGAAAGGCTAACTTTATATACACTAGGACATTACCCGAAATTAAAGTTGAGTTGAAATGCTAAAATTGAAATCGTTAATTTTTGTGGAAAATGGCAATTGTTTGGCATATAAATTTGATCAGCCATGTTTCTCATTTTTTTACTCATTTTTAAAGCGTGCGCTAAATTGAAACATTTGTATCTCACGTAATATTAAATGAAATTTTTAGAGCTGTATATCAAAATCTAAGTTAGCCTTCCCTGAATACAATAAAATTTATTTGAGTGTAATAGCTTTTATAGTTTTTACCTTGCACGAAATCAAACAGCGCAGGTTTTTTGGGGACACCTGGTATATTATTCACAGCACTACCTGCGAACAGGCATGTACTCTGGCGCCCGGAATTCTGGGTTTTCTGATTATGCGTGTCCCCAAGTCAGATGCACAGCGGAATATGCCTGGTTTCCGGTATATACTTCATTTAACCCTTAGTATATACCTTCAATAACTCGGACTGGGATTTCTAATAAAAATTCAACTGGGATTGGGGTTTTACCAAAATTTCAGGTGGGAAATGGGATTGGGACCCCCTTTCAGGACCCTCTTAGAATTCGCGAAGGCCTTTAATTGCTATTATTATTACCATAATTTTTACCGGTTCAGCGTATGACGTCATTGACGTCAACGAATGTCACGATTTCATGCTTGTCAACAGAGCCCCAACCCCCCCCCCCCCCCCCC